ACAGATGAAATTAAAAGGTACAAATGCATTAACTAAAACAGTGATATTGCAATGTTGTTGCAGAACTTTGAGCTTTATTCAAAAGTGAATAGTTAGGTGAGTTCAGGAAAAAATTGTAGTTGAACATTTAGAAAATCTACAAGATTTCACTCACCATTTGAATTTTTCTCAAGCATTTTGGAAGATACACGTAACTATAGTACTGCAGCTTCACAGTGTGGTGAACTGATTACATACAGCTTCACGCTTCAGTGGCTAGAATGTTTCCAGTACATCACATGTCTCATTTAAAAATAGCTGTCTTTGTAGCACGCTCAGCAGCACAGATATGTCAGAGACATCTAAGAAGTCTTGTCACTTCTTGTGCATTAATTTACTTTTGGTGGTGCCTTTTCAGCTGGCATCACATGTTGTCAGTTAGTCTCTTGATGTTTATATATAATTTGTGGACTCATTAGGACATTAATTTTCAACACTAGCATCCTATGTTCCTGCTAGCTTTTTTCTAAACTTGGAAGGGGTTTGCAAAAATTTTAGAAACTGAGTATCACTAGTTAGGATAGGGGAGAAAGGATTTCTGATGTATTCAGAATGGGTTTGCTATTTTGAGATAATCTGGTTTAAGTGATGTTTGGATGCATTTAAATTTCCATTGTGCTGGTCTTTTGTGTTTATGTAGTTGCATATTGTGCCTTTAAGCATCCCTCTGGCAATAAAAAACAAGTTCATATTATGCATGTTAGTTTTGGTACTGTCATTTTGTTATGTCAACATACACGATTACAATATAGTAATTACAATTACAGTAATTTTAGTATCTTGTTTTTACATATTTCTATGCATTTTTAAAATAACTTTTTTTTTTTTTATATGCACACTCACATAAACACGGACATAATATATTTGCTAGCTTGCTCAGTGTTTTCCATTTTAGCAGTGGTCTGTTGTCTCCTTCTTACCTAGCACATTGTTGCATCTTTCTGAGCTATTCTTGCTCAGGTGGACTATCCTGCCATTAACTGGTCTAAATTAGTAGACTTATTTTAGCCATCTGATTTTAATTGTGGAGAAGGCTAACTTATCAGGTTTTTAGTCCCACATTTTTAAAGCTCTTTCACTATGATTTACTGCTGAGTAAAATAAAAGCTCTGCATCTTTCTGCCAGACCTATCACTGCTTGAAATACTTCCATCAGACTCCTTTCTGTAAAGCTATGGGGAGCATATAGAAAGTTAAGCAATGTAAGCCTTCCAACAAGACGTTGTGTTGTCTTAGTTCCTATTCAGCTGAAATGACTCTTCAGCATGTATCATATGTAGAAATTGCTCATGTTCAGAATTCATAGACTCTAATATCTCTATTCTTGCTCCTCTTAAGAACTTGTTTTACTGGACATGCAGCCAGAAAATCGTGGAACAAGAAAAAAAAACACTATCGTTTACTGAATTTACATAAATTCCTCAGCGTGTTAAAACAAAAGAACAAACTGCACTTGGCTTGCTGCTAGAAAGGAACCTTACCAAGCTTGAGGAGTGGAGTTGGCAGATATCACTGAGTTCAGCAAAGACAAATGCAAAGTACCTTGGGTAGAATAAACTTCTAGAGGAGGTACAAGATCTGACTAGTTAGGTACCAGGTCTGCAGAAAATCTGGGCTTTTCCTGGGTAACGAGAGGAACATGACTGCAGTACGTGTTGGGCTTCATTAACAAGAGCAGATTGAGAGAAGAAATTATATCCCTTCTACTCAACACTTAGGAGGCAGCACTGTGTTCCACTTTGGATTTCTCAATAAAAGAGAGATCATAAAACTGAAGAGTCCAGAGAAGATTCTCTAAGATGGTATGGGCTGGAACATATTATATACAAGGAATAGGCTGAGAGATGTGGTTTTGTGTAGCCTGGAGAAGAGTTGGGTGAAGGGGAGCAGGAGGAGAATCTAATTGCTGTCTTCCACATGGGGGCGTATGGAGAAGATGAAGCCAGATTTTTACAAATATACACAGTAAAATGGTAACAGGCAGCTAGCATTTCCACGGCAACAAAGACAATTCCAGCTGGATGTAAGAGAATAATTTTTTCCACTGGTCAAGCACCTAGGGACGACTTTCGAAATATGACTGCACAGAACACTGTGCAGCAGCTTTGTCTGACGTTGAAGTTAGAGGTCATTTGAATAGAAGTTTGGACAATTGAGGGTATGCAGAGGTCCCTTATAGCCTGAGTTATTTCATGATTCTAATTAAGATACAAGCTAATTACATACAACTTTGTATTTTAAATTTGATTTTTACTCTCAAGATGGTGTTGGAAAATTTTCTGATACATTATTGTCTTTCATTTAAATCCTGTTCTGGAGCTGTAATTGGATTAGTGGAGTCACACACAGAACTGCGATGAAAAATGACACAAATAAGTCAGAAAAAATATTTATAAAACAGAAGTTTGAACAGAGGAGATGAACAGAACAAGAACACTCACAGATTTTCTGACAGACCTCTAATTAAAAATAAATTGTTTCTGCCATAACTGCAAGAATATCTGACTAGAATCCAGTGAACACGTAGAATGTTCTTTGCTAGAAGCTTTGAAAAATCCCATGGATTAACCAAAATCAGAAAGGATCTGCAGCAATAGTCCTGATATAGATATCTTAATATTTTCCTCTAAACTTTTATTAGAATATGAAGTATTGTCATAATGCAAACTTGGGCTCAGTCCTACATAACAGACAGGAAACTGCTCTTGCTGATTTCCCTTTCAGTTTTTCTTTTGATCCAAATTGGAAGAAGTAATAAGAAGTACAGGAACTTGATCATTCCAAGGACACCATCTCTTTCGCATTGCTTCTGCAACTACCTTTCCACCTTTCCTTTGCCCCACCCTTTGGATACAAGGAGGATTCTTCTGTGAGCTATGGCGCTTTACAAAAAGAAAACAACCAACCACATAGCATGAGAAATTTACATTATATTCAATCACCTGTATTTGGAATTTGCTTGGAATTTTGCATTAAATCCCTATTTGAGCATGAAATTTCAGTGTAGTGGAAATTGCTGAAGATTATACTAGTATTTTGCATGCAGCCATGAGTTCAATGTACTTACGCTCTGAATCAACAAAAGCAATTTTAACCACGGTAGTGTTAACATGATATGCTATAAGAAAATAATACAGCATACTGTGTCAGCAGTCTATGGAAAAAAGCAAAAATACAGTGTAGCACAAAATTAGAAAATTTAGAAAACAAAATTAGAAAACAGTCTGCTATCACCTTGTTGCCTTATAATCCCAAACAATCAATAAGTGTGGAGTACCTCGTCAGTGGTTCAACTTTAAAAAGCTGCATTTCACTTCTGTTCAAAAAATAACACATTTTATTTTGTCAGACATGGAAAATAAGGATTGCCTAGGTGATCCATTAACACCCTTTTCTCTTGCATATTCTAGTGTATAAATCCATATGCTAAATTATCTGTAGTTATTTGATAGCAAACCTAATTTTTTTTCTTTGCTACAGTATAAATATTTATCTAATGTTTCACCAGCCAAACATCTCAACAGTAAACAAGGACCTGAAAAAGAAGTAGCAAAGTTTGATTTTCAGAAAGTAAGATTAAGGATTTGTCTAAAAAAGACACAAATCTAAAACTTCAAGATGAAGGTGAAGCTTATCTTAAAATTACTTCCAGGCTAACTTTAACACCCATCCATTTTAGTACTTTAATTCTTTTGCCTGATATGTTCAAGTTTCTGGTTACCATAGTGCAAATTATCTTCTATGTAAGAAATATGTGTCTATGTTTTCTACTGTGTTTATTATTCTGTGACCATCAGCATCTCTGAAAGACATTCAATCTCTGTAATGAACTGAAAATCAAATTCAGTCTTCAAGTGGAAGGAATTTTTAGCTTTCTATTTTGTGTCTGTACTGAAGAAAACGCTTAAGTCTTTAGTCATTACATATGCCTGTGGTGGCTGGCTCTGAGTTTCATGCAGGCTGGCCAAAAATTGCCGTTTGCTTAGCAAGTAGTGTGTGAGAGAGTACTTCAGGAGCACAGGGAGGTAATGGCTTGGGTAAAACTAAGGGAAATTGGCTAATAACTGGAGTTGCACGTAATAATAACATGGGCTGCATAAAATAGTATCTTGAGCTAATACCGGGTGTTGGATGCATAAATAAAAGGAACATACAACAGATCTATATGCATAAGGTGTCATCCATACTGCTACAGATTGATTCACAGTTCTGTTGAGATTACTAAATCTCTTCTACCCCACAATCCTCAGAGACACAATGGACACATATCCTGCAGCAGAAATGACATGGAACTGATGCACAAGCCCCTATGCTTCCTTCCACTTTTGTATCAGGAGAAATGGATGTGACCCTTGGATTTCAGCTCAATGTCATGCACTAGGTATTTCATAGTTCGCACTCACTCTGCTTTTCTCTAGCAACATCATACAGTGTAGCCTTTGGGAGAAAAAAGAAATAAATCTTCATCTACTTAGCAGAAAGATTTGGTTTACTTCCAGATGTAGTCATTGAATGTACATAGAAGCGCAAGAAGATTTGCACTGGCAAAGTGAGGTGAAATTTGCTTGTACCCTGGACTTTTTATTGAGCTTGTCATCAATAATTTTAACCTTGGATTTCGGGATTACTTTTAATTCTTTGTGATGAATTCTTTTTTAATTTAAAACAGCTTCTAAGTAGGAGTTAGGTCTTCCTTATGCCTTGTGCACCACCTGCTGGATTCTCTTTAATATCCTGATAAAGATTTATCCTTTCACAGGCTCATAAAATGCAGGATTTGCTTGTTTGCAAGAACAAAACTCACAACCCAATTACATAGTCTGGTGAAAAATATGTCTTAATTCATCACAAAAACGGTTAATTTATGCCTTTCTGTTCAACTTCTAGTTATGTTTAGCAACATCATAAAGTGTTCTTACTTTAATGTATTATTTAATAATGTATTATTTAATAATGTATTATTTAATACGACAGGCATCATTAACCATAATTTATGACATTCTGGTTTGTGTAAAATATCTGAGGAAAACAGCTACTTTTTCACTAATTAAAATGTAATATAGTTTGCATTCTAGTGGATCAGTAGAGGAGAAAAAATTTGGGTTAAAACAAAATTTTAAACACAATCTCATATTACTTCCAAAAAGAATTAGAAACACTATTTGGTCTAAAATTATCTCAAGTAATGTTTAAATGAGATGAAGTTATGGCCCAAGAGCATGTAGAAGCCCAGAAGAAAAAGGGCTAATGTGTATGTCTTAAACACCAGTGACCAGGTAGCTGAGGAGCCAACCCAAGGTTGTTGAAAGAATCAGATGTGGCTGGAGAAGAGGACCTTACGGAGGTAGGTCAGGGACAAACATCCTTGCTCTAGTCCCTGGAGACACGACAAACAAAAGACAAGGTCAGCACGTAAGTAAGCATGAACTGTCAACTAAAAGTCAATCCAATAGGGGGATACAAGATCACCAAAGACTCCTGAAGCCCTCTGAGCCCCATTTCCGGAAAGGTCTGAAAGAACAGACTGCAGATGGTAACTAATTTGCGTAGAAAGCAAGAAACCTGTCTTTAGGGGGAAAACATATATATTTAAAGGTACCTCCACCAAGCCTCGGTGTGTGCCCCAGAGTGCTGGACATCTCATTGGCAGAACTGATTATCTCTTTTCCTCTTTCTTTCTTTCTTTCTTCCTTTCTTCCTTCCTTCCTTCCTTCCTTTCTCTCTGTATTTCTGTCTTTCTTCCTTTCTCTTTCTCTCTTTTAATTCATCTCTTTTTTCCTCCCCTTTCACCCTACCCCTTTATCTAAATCCCACTGCCATATGCTTTTATAGTAGGTCAGGGACTAACACACTAATAAAACTGTGATTTTTTTTGTGGATCCTCTGACTTTTGTCATTCCTTTTGACTGCAAGCATTCACAATCTTGGGTGCTTCCTTCCCCTTAAGGGTGGGATGTCACAGAGAGACAGACAAGAATCTGAGAAGAGCAGAATGAGACACAGCTCAGCATGAAAGCCATTGTTTATGAGATTGAGAATGAGAAAGCAATAACAAAGATTGTACAAGGAACAAAATGCTGCTTTGATGGTTTAAGGCAAACAAGATTTACTTTAGTAAAAGAAGATTACATCCTTCAGGATGTCTGTGTCATGTCTGTCTGTCTGTCATAGGACCTAAAATTAACATAGAACATCATGCTGCTGACAGTGCCTAAGAACAGAGGGAGATCTTCAAATAATGGGAAACATTTTATACCACTTTTTAATATGTATATAACTATGGATATGTTATACATATAAAGAAATCTAAATATTATATAAAAATTTTATATTTATATTTTTCACATTTCACTGGTCCCATGACTTCAACATATGAAACCGACTTTCACTGAATGTCAAGGTATGACTACAAGAATTTTTTCTACTAAGACATTTATAAGAAATGTTCCTTTAAATAATTTGCTTTGTAGTAAAAGTTCAAATTAGTAGTACTAAAATAGACTAAACCCACCAAAATACTACTTAAACGTTTAAAAAATCATTTAGTTCAGCTGGGGAAGTGAACAAAATTGGTTGCCTCAATTGTGTTAATGTACAGAACTTTAATTTCTAGCAAGAATTAGCAATACATGCACATGCCTTGAGACTCAATTTAAGTAATTTAACTGGAGCTATTATCAGCTGAAAAACACAACAAATCAACTTTTTCAACACTACGGGCAACAACAGATGTTAGTGATGTTGCAAAGAAGGCAAAGTTGTTTCATGATAATATTGTTGATGGATACAGCCAGAAACCCTCCATAGTTAAAAAAACAAAGCCAACACCACCAGCAAAATCAAAATTAGTTCCAACAGCCTGCCTATGGGTGACTAGAATGAAGGGTTGATAGTAGGAAACATGCATATTTTCAGTGTGATTCCCTCCAGACAAGTTTACCCAACAGCTAGTGCATGGATCCCTATTTTCCCCTGCTCTGGCACCTGGACATGTAAGTCTATAAGGATCACAGCTATACATCATCTGCTGGTACAGTCCCATGTCCTTGTTGCCCTCCCACCTTATGCAGACTACACTGTAGCCCTTGAGTAACTGGGATTAGATGTGCAGCTAGATGAGTAACTAGCACACGGATTCTATCATCTTCAATTGCATCCTGTGTAGAGACACACACCTTCAGATTTGTGGCCTCCTCAGTAGTTGTTCTGGACTGCCTGGTCCCTTCAGAATGTTCTTCCAATTGTCTCTGAGATGTGCACATATCTGGCCCAGTCTTATGACTGCTTTGGTAAGTGATGCTAAAGCCCCTTCACCCGCGTTCTGTCCAGGTTCTGTTTGATGTTTGCTGGCAGCCAAATGGTGGTAATCCAGCCCTTCACTTGGCCCAGTAGCTGCCACCACAGGCACATGGGTTCCTATTACTCATAGTCTTCAGTCTAGTTGCTGGCACAAAAAGCCTCAGCTGCCCTTAGTTGCTGGCACCACAGGTAACAATGGCTATTGTGACCCATGGTCAACTGCAGTTGATGGCAATTAGACCTCCATATGAACACAGTTAGAAATGAAATTTAATACGACAGGACAGCTGGCACTTATGAGGTCCAGGGCATCACCAATAACTGCATAGACCATGGACCAGCCCCTTATCCTTTTATTAAGCAATACTGTTGTGGAGAAGAGACGACTGAGAGGGGAATCTACTTGTCCACAAGTATGCAAACTTTCAATATGCCCGGGTTAGTTTACATTATTAATAAATCAGTGCAGTGAGTTAAAGAAAGCTGAGGAAATGAGAAAAGGCTAACTACAAGACCAGGTTTTATAAGTCTCCCAAAGACTTCAATTTGGCAGGCGTGGCCTTTGTTTCTCCTCCACACCTTCCTCCATGTAGTCCCAGCTGTGGTTGAACAGCCGAGAGAACTAGAAGAGACCACCCTGCATTTGGCGTATGGACATGAAAGAAGGAGTGCGTAGTTACTACAGTAGTAGCTCCACATACAGAAAGCTAACCCAAATAATTGTATTCCTGAAGTAAAGAGAACACATCCTAGCAGATGTTTTTTTATTTTCCATTTTCAAGTTGTCATGCGTAAGTGGTGTGTCGGAGTGAGTGAACATTTCTAAAGGCTCTACAGGAAAAAAAATAAAAAAATTTCTTAACTCTTTTGAAAATACAGATCTTAGTGTCATATTCTCATAGGGCACACAAGTAGTATCTCCCATTTTTTAAAAAACTTTTTGATTTGTAAAGAAAAATATTGGTTTTTCCTTTAATAAACCCTAAAGGTTCTGCTTCACTATGTTTCTTAACTGTTTCAGTAACCATACATGCTCAGAGTTAAAAGGAGTACAAGAGGGAACATGGTCTCTGTGAAGGAAGAAGAGCTATCTCAGGACACAGTTGTGTTACATTTCACTGAAAAGGCACTTCTGAAGAAGGTTGTCTAGTGTGTGAAGCACAGAGAACACCATTTCCAGTTTGAGAACAACTGCAAAAGTGTAGCTGTAAGCTGTTTAGTTGTGTTTCCTTGTAGTTGCTAATCACTGGATTAGCAATTGACTGCTCAATTTGGCAATTAAGAACTGACTGCTATATTTCTTGAGCAGCACTGTGCCTGTTTTTTTCTATTATCACATTATTAATTACATTATTGTGATGTTCTGAGTTTAATTAAATACTTTGGTCTTCTGTTTCTTGAAAAAATCATGGTATTACTACTAATGAAAAACTGAATAATTTTGTTATTTATAAAGAAAAGGTCCATATTTGCTTTTGGATGTAACATTATTAAAACAATGTTCTATGTAGCAAATTACTTTCCTTACAAGTAAAATATTTTCAACACCATTTAGAAGGAGGTGAGAGAAGTAACTCAGGCTAGGATCAATCTATCTTAAGTAGCTAGTTAGGAACAAATTGTTTCATCCCTGACAGGTCTCATTTGGTGGATCACCATCATCATGGCTATTCAAGCATCACATTAGAGTTCTCAAAATAGAAATGCCCATCTTCAGTCATTATTAAAACTAGGAAAATAAATGGTAAAGAAGAAATAGATTCTGCTCAGAACCAGAGAATATTTTAGTTGTTCAGAGAGTATTTTGATGTAATTTATATACGCAGTAGCAATTAACATCTGAACTGTAAAATAACAGTTGTTAACAAAGTTTATCAGCAAATACCATTTAGTTCAATAAATCCCAGAACTGACATAGTAACACCTTTATTGATCACTTTACCAACTGAAGATACAATTTTATACAGTCAGTCAACAGCAGGAACGTACTTTATGAGAAGCTATGCTTTAGAAAATGGTGTTTAAAATATGGATTTCACTACAATTTTTCAAGCTAAGCTTTTACAGTGCTAATCAAAACAACTGTACTTGAACTTTTTCCCTAAAACATCAATAATAATGTTGCAGACAAAGTAGCTTTTCCATTGTTAATGTGGGTTTAAATTTAACAAGACAACTTCAAAAGGTTTAAAACATCCATAACATTGTCATTACTTTAACATTCACACAGATAAAGTGATACATTTAATACTTTCTAGCATTAATAAATCGTGTAAAAATATATTGCATATATATATATATATAAATTTGTTTCCATTTCCTGAAAAAACCTAGTACAAACTAGTAGCATATGATCCCCCCCTTCAAGTTTCTTTTACTTATTTTAAAGATTGAAAAGTAGTAGTTTTAAATTAATAGAAAAAAAGACATGGAAATAGAGAATCACTGTTGTGCTCCCCCATAACCGCTTGTCATGGTTACTAAGCATATTAACCCCTTGGTTATAGTGGTTCCATTTTTGCTAACACCAGTTAGAACTTTGGCACTGACTGCAGTGGGGATAAGATTTTGCCCAGTGTGTTTTGCACTGGATGGTGCCTGGCCCCCTTCATCAAGTGGTTAAAAATCTTTGCTTAGGACATGCTTGTCTACTGTAGTTAAGATTAAGAAATCCTACGCTCAAGTTGATCATTTGCAATAATGAAAAGAAGGTTCAGTGTAAAATTAGTGAGAAAAAAAGTAAACTTGTAAGGTTAAATGATCATGTAAAATTTTTACTGTGTTGAAAATTTCACAGTGAACACAGTAGGTTAGTACAGCTGAATGTTAATGTTTGCAATGCCTGCAATTATAAAAATTGCAGGTAATTATTAGCACACAGCAGCTTCCTGGTTGATGAAAGACAAATGAAAATAAGAATAAAAACTAGTAAGCATCACTGAAGGTTTTTATCATACTGTACAGTGCTCCAAGGAAGACCATGTCAAGACCTGTCTCCATATCCCAACTGCTTAACAATTAAATTTTAATTAGTGCTCTAGTTAATCAAAGACAAAATAGTTTTGCCTCTACATTTTATGATCAGGTCCTGACAGCATGCACATCCAGATTTGTGCAAATCAAGAATCAAAACATCTCAACTGAATTATAAATGGATGTTGAAACAGCATGGACAGGTAAACAAGCTAGCAAAGGAATAAAGCTTAGTGTGGATAAATAAATGGTTCATGACTGAAGAAAACCAATCTCAAACATTCAAAAATTATACTTCCATATAAATATATATTTCTCCTCTAATATTTAAATCTGTGAAACATAAAACCTTGCTAAGAATAAACTTCAATATACTTATCCAACATTGACCATTTCTCTACTTTATAGAATGTAAAGACAAATTACTTTGTATTATAAGCATTATACAAAAAATTTTCCCTGCTGCAATAGTTTGCCAAAGCTGATATATTCTGCACAAAGATAAAAACAAACACATTTTTTGCACCCCATAAACTTGTTTTTGTCTATGATCTTGCCTTTTCATACACTACAGTGCTAACAAAAGTAGTTTGCCAACACGATTTTACACAGGACATCAGTTTGTAAGTTAACTGACTTTACACAAAGCCTTTGTAAAAAGCTAGTACCTATTTAGCATGAATATTACAGACATACACAGCACTTCAATAGTATTAATATAACCCTATTGTAACAGAGCCCAGGCTGCATTATTTCACATTATTTCATTACTTTGTTTAAAAATAGCATTTGAGCAAATGCAAGCGTACAGAAACTCATCTGATGTAAACTGGAACTTAAAATAATTTACCACTGTGGGCATACAGATTGCCATCTTTTTTTATTAGTTTGTTGTTCATCCA